TCCCCGGGCATCCCAAAACCCACCTCCATCCCAAAACCCCCTCCCCGGGCATCCCAAAACCCACCTCCGTCCCAAAACCCCTTCCCCGGGCATCCCAAAACCCCTTCCCCGGGCATCCCAAAACCCCTTCCCCGGGCATCCCAAAACCCCTTCCCCGGGCATCCCAAAACCCCCTCCCCGGGAATCCCAAAACCCACCTCCATCCCAACCCCCCCTCCCAGGGCATCCCAAAACCCCCTCGGGCATCCCAAATCTCAGAGGTTTCCCCTCCTCATGTCCCCAATGTCCCCGAGGGCCGGGTGGTGACTCCCCAATGTCCCCAATGTCCCCGAGGTCCCTGAAGGCCAAGTGGTCCCTCCCCAATGTCCCCAATGTCCCCAAGGGCCGGGTGGTGACTCCCCAATGTCCCCAATGTCCCCGAGGTCCCAAGGGCCGGGTGGTGACTCCCCAATGTCCCCAATGTCCCCAAGGGCCGGGTGGTGCCCCCCCAATGTCCCCAATGTCCCCGAGGTCCTGATGGTGACTCCCCAATGTCCCCCAGGTCCCTGAGGGCCGGGTGGTGACCCCCCAATGTCCCCGAGGTCCCCAAGGGCTGGGTGGTGACTCCCCAATGTCCCCAATGTCCCCAAGGGCCGGGTGGTGACCCCCCAATGTCCCCCAGGTCCCCGAGGTCCGGGTGGTGACTCCCCAATGTCCCCGAGGTCCCAAGGGCCGGGTGGTGACCCCCCAATGTCCCCAAGGTCCCAAGGGCCGGGTGGTGACCCCCCAATGTCCCCAATGTCCCCGAGGTCCTGATGGTGACTCCCCAATGTCCCTTAGGTCCCCGAGGGCCAGGTGGCCACCCTGTCCTTCCGCGTCTTTGACCTGGAGCCGGACCCTCTGTGTCGCTTCGATGCCCTCTCGGTGTTTGGGGGTCACAGCCCCGGGGCGCCGCTTTTGGGGCGTTTCTGTGGCACTTTCCGTCCGGGGGCACTGCGGGCACCCCAAAATCGGCTCCGGCTGCACATGGAAAGCGA